TTGTAGGTCTACTCCAAAATGGAGATCGTAATTTCTCCACTTCCACTCATTACAATCACACGTGCCCCAATGTTATATTTAACTAATATTATATTCCTCCACCCCACAAAAAAATCACGTTTAGAAGCCCTTTTTCTCTAATTCCACAACGTTGGATGAAATAACATTAGGAGAACGGATTAATAGCTGTTCATGGTTAACGTGTGTTGCTAACTTTATCCGGTATCCTAGCCTAATCTGTTATCTGTAAACGTTCCCTAAATCTACTGATTTAGGGATAATCCACTAACATCCTTTAATACACATGTTCATTTGACTCAGATGTGCTGATAATATCTGCAATATAAATCTTTAAACGTCTTCTTACCTTTAAAAGTCCATCACGAACGGTCTATTATGCTGCAACTCTACTGTGCTGCTGGCCCATAGTGCTGGCCGCAATAGTTCCCCGGAAGTCAGCGGCAAGCTAACTTCCGGGGAACTATTGACGGCTCCACGATCCGCCATTGCTGTAAAAAAACTGGTCCATTGGAGTGAACGGAGATGTCGTAACTCTTCTATTATACGGCTCTGAAGGGGCCCTACTATGCTATTTGTTTTAGTTTAAACGGTATTTGCATTTCGCTCCTCAACTGGGACCTCAACTATACTTTAATGTTCAAAAAGCTCTTTATTGTTCTCATACTGCCTGTGCTGCAGCACCTCTTTTCACCCTCTGTCTGAAACCAGAGCCCTGCTCTGATTGGTTAGCTGGCCGGCTCTGTTGTGATTGGTTAGCCACTTAGAGATTTCCCAACCCTTAGCCTATTAGGTACAATGTTTTGCGCTAGCCAATAGAAGCGAGAGTGATAGATAGTGATGTCACTATGTTACTTTAGTAAACAAAGGAGTCCAATTGAGACGTTTCAGGCAGGGGGGGTGTGTGTGGGAGAGAAACTCCCTCTGGAGGGAACACAGGAATTGTAGCCTCTGCAGACCATTCACATGCACTAAAACCTATAGAACATGCTACAGGAAAGGGAAAAGCATAAAAGGGCCTCTTTCAAATGCATACTAAACTAAAGTGCAGATATTAGATTATTAACATGATCACAAAGTGCTATTTGACAAGACACTTCTTTTTTTTTATCTGACCAAATAAAGGGAACTTATCCTTTACTGTAATTGTGTTAAATGTCAATTGTAACAACCCATAACAAGGTATTTTAATGATGTTGAAAGATGGCGTCCCTGTTAGGGGAGTGACACAAAGCTGCAGTTGTGAACCAGGTCCTGTACAAACAACAGTGACCCATATTAACCCAGCACTAATTGTTCTGTACAAATTGTCAAAAGGACAATCAGATTGAGCTTGTGTTCAATATTCCATGCATACAAAGGGGTTTGTGTGTTAAAGAGGTGTGAACAATTACTTCCTGTAATGCGCAGCAGAGGGGGGGGGTTCAGGTTCAGAGGGCAACAGCCTCTTAACAAAGAGGATCCTTTTGCAATCAGTTCTGCTTCACGGGAAGTGGAGCCGCTCGCTGTATGAGAGCCATTCAAAGTCTTGTTGTCCAGGTTGGTGCTGCCTTCAAGAGCTCATCATCATCAATAGGACCCGAGAAGCAGTTTTGTTGCTCTGTTTCTTCACCAAGGATGTGTGTGTTACTTTTTACATCTTGACTCCACAGCATTTCCTTGTTTTGTAATTTTGTGATTGTCATTGCTTCACTGTATGAACTTCATTTGGCCATGATCTTGAATCAAAGCTGGAAGATTTAAAACAATGTCCATCTGCACATTTTATGATGTGGGGTTTGCTTCAGTCCCCTAGTTGCTTGTGTAAAGAACAAAGAGCATTGAAACAGGACAGCAGTGTGGACGCCAGGATATGATGTTGCAGGATGCAACATTTGGCAAACCTCTGCCTGGCTACTGCCTTCAGTCTCTCCAAATCACAACGAGTGTGCTGGAGCAAAAGTCATCCTTCTCTGTGTGAAACAGCCTGTGCTACCACCCAAAGGCTTTACCAATTTAGTTCAGTCAGCTAGGGGCTCCTTCCTCTTCATTTCTTTTAGAATTCCCACTAAAAGCTATGAATACATTGAACTGACAGAAGAGACCCATTGCTTTTAATTTTGCATGTGAGGAGATGGAGCTTTTGCCGCACTTGAGGAAATTCCAACGTTTCATTTAAGGTTGCAACACAGTACTCAGATATAAGTACCAGTGTTTGAATACTCGGTTACAAGTAAAAGTCCTGCAATCAAAATGTTACTCAAGTAAAAGTAGAAAAGTATTATCATCAAAATATAGTTAAAGTAACGACAGTAAAAGTAGTCATTGTGCAGATTGGTCCATTTCAGAATAATATATGTTTTATAATGATTGATCATTAAAGTGTTCTCAAAGCTGGTAAAGGTGCAGCTAGTTTGAATGACTTTGTATACTGCAGGGTAGCTTGTGAATTTACTCCAGGTGGAACTAAAGTCTGATTTAACACTTGATTATATTTCACATCATTCATCTAAATGTAGTGGAGTGAAATGACACGATTTACCTCTGAATTCTAGTGGAGTAGAAGTGCAAACAAATGCAACTACTCATGTAAAGTACAAGTTAGCAGCCTGTGTGTTTCTTCCAGGGCTAAAGTTTGTTTGTGTGCGACACAGGCAGAGAGCGGATGTTTGATAGAGCCATCACTCAGCCCTTTGGCAGTGATATCTTGTTTTCCCCTCAAACTGGGCTCGATGTATCTGTGCCCCACGTGTGTTATTGCCGGGCGGAGGCAATGGCTGTAGATCACCGTGAAAACTGTGAGGGGGGGGGGAGCGAGCGGTCTGCTGAATGACAGCGGAGCAGCATATTGAGGAGACATATTGTTGTTCGGCCCTTCCTGGGAACATGAGGGAGAACCAATAACAGTGTCAGTCAGCTCATTTCCATGTGTGTGCTTACTACGAGGTGCACAGCCGGGGGGGCATCCTTATAGACCCTGCCTGCTGTTGCACTTTGTGATCTATATTCAGCCATTTCAGAGAGAACGCTATGCTCTTCCAGTTAAGTGCTTGTGTTTCCCCCTTGAGTCACATGTCCCACCACCAGCCTGAGGTTAAATCACACCAGAGTGTCTTTCCTTGTGTCCCGCTTAATATGTCTGCTGCAATTCTATCCCACCTGCTAAATAAAAAATGAACAGACAGGTACCTCTGAAATAAAGCCGGTAATGCTTTACTAAACCTTGCTCCTGTTGACGTTGTTATTTAAGGTATTAGCAGCCGTGGAATTAAACTGTCATGTTGGTAAGCATTGAAATAATACCTGATCTTTTAACAAATGAGTCATTACTTGGAGGGTTGGGGTTTTGTTTGACAGCTGTGTATTCATGTTCCCATCTATCATAGTCGGAGTGCGCACTCACGTCTATGTTTTGCATCTATCCAAACACAAACACACCATGTCATTGCTCCGTGCGCAAAACAAATTGGAGCGCTCTCTTTACAAGAAAAGCATGCCTGGGGCTAGTCATTTTGAAATTAAAAGCATGTCTCTTTGTTCAGCCCGGGTTCCAGGAACGGGGGGGGAGAACATGTCGCGTTGAGAGGAGCACTGAGTTTGTTCTGTGATTTTCACAGGCAGGGAATCAGGGAGTCTTTTATCTATTCTCCTCAATCAGCAGACATCCACCAGGAAAGGTAGGAGGATTAGATTAGCTGGAGAGAGAAAGAGAGAGTGGGTTCTCTAATCCTGATGGGGTTTTCGGAGGTACACCCATCACTGTGGAGGAGCATGCAGTGGGGAGTTGGGATCGGGGGGGCGAGCGCGGGCCGGTTTGCCTCACTAAACCCTTCACACTTGCATGAAAGAGGTTCCAGCAAACTAGGGGATTAGACGGAGTGTAATTACACTTTCGGGGCCTCAGAAGTAGCAAAACGTGCGCTGACTGGAACACACCTCAGACGGCGGGAGAAGAAGGGAGTAATGCCTGTTAAATGTGATGCCAATGTGTTGTCTGTGAATTCTTCAAATGAATTAAGCGTCTCTAGTGAACACCAACATCTGAGAGATCAAAGGAGTCTTTATGGACTGCAGATCTGTCTGAGCAGCATACGGACGTCTGTCTCGTTGAATTTCAATTCGATTTCTATTTCAATGATTTGCACTACTTTTTGTTTTGTTTCTGGTCATGTCACACCTTTCTATTGCACAGAGGTTGTCAAAACAAATGTATACATAGCTAAAGCAGGATTACATTGTGATTAAGAAATGCTGCACTTTTCAGGTCCTGTCGCTTCCATTATCCCTAGTGGAATTCCATACAAATGAGGATTTCTTGTTACCATCCAACAGAACTGTTTCTTTTTGTTTTTACTGTGGCTATTTGTAACCATAAAAAGAAAAATATTGAACCAACTGTGCAATGAGATAACTCTTACCCAATGCTTCAGAACGCTGACACCTCACATGTCAAAAGATTAAGTTATAAGCACACATACACTAATTAAAAAACAAACAAAGATGGTATTTTTGATCATAAATGTTTTGCAAATGTGCAAAATCTAGTGTACTCCCTGTGAAAATAAAATATTGAACATGGTGTCTCTCTGGAGGATTTGTTGTTCAGTGCTTTCTGTAAATTATTGTATTGCAATGCTGTGGCAGAGAATAGACGGCGGGTGGGGGCGGGTGATGTTGTGTTGTTTTGTTATTTCTCATGTTGTGTTCCAAAACAATTTGTTTGAGGGAGGCGTCGCTGTAAGGAGTAATGGCTGCTAGTTGGGTCTGGTTGCAGGGGGGAGAGAGACAGTGAGGGATGGGGGAGGCTGGGGGAAGACAGTGAGTGGGCTAGTTGTGAGGTGTTTCTGTGTGTGTCGAAAACAACATTTCACTGCAGGGTTAGTTGGCAGGAAAGGAATCCGAGATGGTTTAAATCAGCCATCTTGCTGTTGTGGATAAATAATTACCACTCAATTCCTTGTCTGTTCCTTTTGAGCCTAAGCTCTTTCTCGTTTATTCTCCAGGCCCCCGAGGGGAAGCCCTGCAGCATGGCCAGTCCGGGACCCTGCCTCACTTCCTGGAGGAGCCGGTTGATGCTTACATCATCAAGAGCAACCCCATCAAGCTCCGGTGCCAAGCCCGGCCCGCTCTCCAGATCTTCTTCAAGTGCAACGGAGAATGGGTCCACCAGAGCCAGCACCTGTCTCAGGAGCACACTGACATGGGGACAGGTACAGCACACACTCACTGACACACACACATACCAGGCACCAGCTGAACAGGTTAGAGGGGCAGGAGCTAAACATTAATCAAAGGGCACGCCTGTACTTCTTGTTACTAATGAAAGAAATATATGCCTGGTTTGACAACTTTTGTGACAGTGTTAAAGGGGTATTTAAATGTATATATTAAAAACAAACCAATGAGGTTTGGTTAAAACACGGCTACATGACAGTAAATGAACCAGGTCACAATGGGTAAATCACACAGCCAATCAGAATGCATATCCTGCAACACCATAAGCGGGTTTAGACTACACACGCTAGTCAGACCCGAGATTAAATATGTGTTGATTTGAAAAAAAGGGCCCTTCTCTAATAGAAGGGTAAACGGGCAGGTGGTCCTTTAAGGTCTATCTGTAGAAGTGCCTGGGCTTTACAGAAAAACATACATTTTCCAACTTGTATTTACATTCCCATCAAGCCTTCTTCCTGACACTTTGAGTTATGAGGCTTCATTCCCATCGCTGATAGGAAGGACTGAAGTCTTAAGAATGAACTTTGCAAATGGGGGCTTTATGACAATGCCTGTGGCTATGTCCAACCCTGCAAATATATTAGCCTCATTTCTGCACTGAGTGTCACATTTGATCAAACTGAGACTGAAATGACAACTTTTAGACCATGAAAGGGACACACTTGTTCAATTTCAGGATTTGACTTTGAACTCCGTATGGTGTCTTCCACTGATGCAACTTGCTGAAATGCAGTTGTTGTTATTTTAACTTCGAATTCAAACCACAAAGAAAAATTTCCCTTTTTTTCTGAATCCCCTTTTGTCTGTTTTTTATTGCATCATGTCACAGTGGGTATTAAGTATCTCATGAATGCACTTTTGTATACAGCATATTGGCAAAACAAAAATAATACAAAAACGAAATGATACCTTATTTTTCCTTTAAATAAAAAAGGATTGTAAAAAAAGTATAGCAAGATTTCTTAAAGGGGACCTATCATGCAAAATGCACTTTTGTACGTCTTTTATACATGGATATGTGTCCCCGGTGTTCCAGGGAACTCACCAAGTGTCAGAAAACACAACCCTCTCTATTTTCCTCCATACCCAAATCTCTAAAAAAGGGGCTGCAACGGGTCTGATACCGACTGATCCAGATTTGAACACTTCTATGTCATCACAGAAGTGGCGCTACGGCTATTGGGCCAACTCTCCACCTATCAGGGGAACGTGGGGTTGGGCCACGGCCGGCCATTGCCGCTCGAAAGTGCTGGAGACGCTGTAGTACATATGCCAGGCCTGTAAGTGGCGCTGTAGTCTGCCACAAAAGCAGCGAAGAAGACTTCCCACCCATAGTTACCATGGTTACCCTTCTGTTTATTCTCCGCTGTGGCTTTTTTTCTCCCTCCCCGAGGCAAGCGTTTGCTCCCGCTGCTTTAATTCAATGCAATCCCTCCCCGTCGAGGCAAGCACTGTAATTCTCTCCGGTTAGTCCACCAGCAGATGACAAACACCCACCTCTCCGCCTCTTCCAGGAACGAGGGGACCGTGCGGCAGAGTTTCAGTTTCAGTTTCTTTCGCCGGTCAACATGTCCGTTAAAGTTTAAATCTTCCGGACAAAATTAGAAAAGTGCCGGTCAAAGGTCTTCTTTGTTATTTATTGAACTTTAAAACAAATGAATAACGACTCTATAGGCCTATAATAATATAATAAAACCATAGACTGTATATATAAATAAAACACGGAGGACGGAGATCTTTTTTTCTCCCCCTCTTGACTTGATCAGAGCACGGCTACCCTCTCCTGCAGGTGGGCGTGGTCAGCAGAATCAGCCCCGTAGACAGCAAACAGCACATAGAGCGAAATGAGGCATGGCTAAAATGCATGATCTGTTTGGTATTTTGAAAACAGAAACGTATAAATATACCTTATATAGGTATGGCCCTACAATATATCATTTAAATATAGCATGATAGGTCCACTTTAAATAATAATGTTTTATTGTGGTTTTATCTAGTATCCATGTGAGCAGAAAACATAAAACTATTAGCTACACAACTAACAAGGACTAGGTCTGCAGTGAAGGTCAGATATTCATAATTGAATGAAATGATGAGTTGCAGAAGCAGGTCAGGATGGAGGCAACATGTTTACGAGCCTGCCTTGGCCGCTATTACAGTGTTGATGCTTCACTTAACACAGCACCAATCAATACCACCCTCCAGAGTTAACAATGGACCGCTACATTTTTACTGCTCCCGGTCCTCATCCATAGCTCTGCTTCCTTCTGGCTCCTTATCACCTTTCATATCTGATTCCACTGGGAAAGACAAAAGGGAAGTGAAATACAGAGGGGAAGGACTAAGAGATAAAAATGAAAGCTGAAAAGGAGAGCTCTTGAAATTCAACTTGTGCTAGCATCTCATCCGACGAGACTGTGTTCATCACTAGCTCTTGGAATAGGTGAAAAAATCAAGTGCAAGTAATACCTTTGTTTATTGTAACCTTGACCTACGTTTGAAAGATTTCCAAATAGACTAAAAACTCTCGAAGGATGGATTTTGCAAAAATAAATACATTAGAAGCATTAGCCAAGTGAGTGGTTCCGCAAGCATGAATACCTCAGTATCCAGTTGAAATGTTAGACTGTAAACGTTCCCGGCAAGTTTCGTGTATTCTATTCTGAGGTGTGCTTCCTGTTTACCAACACTTCATACTGTTACTGTAGTGTCGGTGCTCAAAGCTAAGGTGACAATGTTACAGACAGACAGCCAGCATGCAAAAACATGTTGTGATGTTTGTGGAGACACTGGTAGAGGCTGCCTCCATAAACTCACGTCTCTATCCTCCTGCCAATCATGTACCATATATATTATTTAAAGTTAGACTCTATGCATTGTATCCTCTCCTTGAAACATGTCTTGAAACCAGTGACAGCAATATCTTTCCGACCTTAGCATAGCAGTTTTAGTTTTTTAATATATGTCTTTTAAATCATAAAAATTGGCTCAATCAAAATGTACATTCATGCTCCTTGGATGGTCCCATTTTCCGAGATGTGTGCCATTCTTCCCACTTTAGTGTGGTAATGAGTTTTAAGTTGTTATTTGGAAACAACGACAATCTCCACTTCCAAGTTGTTCCGACTTGAGGAGGCTTTTGTATTAATGTTCCACACTAGTTGATGGAACCCTACTTTGTCTGAATATTTCAACAGCACTAGGGCTGTCCCGAATACCATTTTTCGGGGCTTCGGATATTCGGTAGTAATCAGCAGCGAATATCCGGCGTGCGCGTGCACGTTGTTATCATGTGTAACGTTACTGTTTGAACTGCGGATAAAGCAGCTTCATCATGGCAACTGGACAACAACTAAGCTAAGCTACTACTTATAGCATTTAGGTGACTTTTCATAGTTGTTGTGCCCGGAGTTTCCGTTAGAATTTTTTTTTGCCGGTCAACATGTCCCTGACAAAATGAGAAAAGTGCCGGTCAAAGGTCCTCTTTGTTATTTATTGAGCTTTAAAACAAATTGATATGATTCGATATTAAACAAACTAATTATAGTAGATGAACTACATTATTCAAAAGTGTACAGTAACTTATAATAACACAGGAATAATAAACGGAGCGCTCTCTCCCTCTCCTGACAGCCCGTCAGTATCATGCAGCTCGCGGATCCAGTAATGAGTGACCCGTCAGTAAAAATAAACATATCTATAACTAGTTTAGGTATACAGGCTACTGTAGTTTGAGAGGTAATTCAAATAGCTAAGTGTGATTTTCTAACCTGAAGTGTGTGTTTTGCTCCGCTCACCGCTGCAGGTGATCATGCAGAGCTGCGTGTCGACTCGTCAGCAGCAGCTGATCTCTCTCTCTCCCGTCAGATTAGACTTCACTCGCGTTTATGTCCATATCGATCAGATCTAGCTATTGAAAGCGATGTCAGGCGCCCAAGCTGAGATGTATATATTTCCACATTTTAACAGTGCAATTAAAAAGTATAAATATAGTATAAGAATGTGGCAATTCGCCTTTATTGATAGCATACATTTAGGGGGAAAAAAATAAAATAAAAAGATATATATCCGAATAACAAAATTGAAAACCGAATAGTAGGTCAACGACCGAATATTCGGATATTCGGGTACAGCCCTAAACAGCACATGAATGCAGCACCAATGCCCTATCTTGCAATGATAAACGGGCCATATTAATATTTGTATTTCGTGCCTCCATTGTGATATGTTTACTTGCTTTAATGTACAAAAAGTACTTATTTTGTCTTTCTTTTCGAAGCACAAATGTTACATAGTGATGTCACTATGTTACTGACGTAAACAAAGGAGTCCAATTTAGGGATTTCAGGCAGGGATCTCCCTCTGGCGTGAACTTAGGGATTTTAGTCTTTGCAGATCATTTACATGAATACAAACTGATATAACACACTACAAGAGACGGAAAACCCCAAAAAGCACAAGAGGGTCAGTTTAAGATTTAAACATATTTGATTTACTCTCCTTGGTCAGGATCTGCTCCAACATGTAATTAGTTCTGCCGTGGCCCATGCCTCAGCCTTCCCTTACACTTCTAAGTGTCACGATAATCAGGCCAGTAGCACTTCTGTAATCCTGACAGAGAAACTGAGATGAAAACAATTGTTTGCCGGAGGTCATCGCCTCACAATAGAAGTGTTTATCATAGTTGTTTCTTCTGCATCAGTTATTGCAGGTGTAAATGTTACCATAATACATTTGGCTCAAACACAAAACACTGCAAGAGCCTCAGTTAGTTGCATTTTTACTTTTTCAGTTCAGGGTGAGGCTTTTTGATTGTAACAGTTTATTAACCTAATAAAACCTAATGGAGCAATGGAATTAATGCAGTATTCATGGTAAGTCTGTTTTCTTTTCTTTGTGCAGGAATCCTGTCACCAGGGTTAACTATTCAATATAATGATATTTGGTATTGTAAGATATATAAGATACAAGTGAG